ATTGTCTGTATAAATAGTTTAAAATTATCTTCTTTATTATCTATTAGATTTGTCTATGACAACTTACTTTTTCAGGGGATTATTTTTTTTTTCTGATGATAAAAAAGGGGAGGTTATTGTGTGTGTTTGTTTGAAGTCTTTGGTTTATGTTTTTTATTTGTATTTTTGGATTTTTTTTATTTTAAGTTTGTATTTGTATTTTTTTATTTTATTTTAAGTTTTTTAAGAATTTATGTTCTTTGACAAAATGCTCTTAGGGGGATGTTGTTTATGGTTTTGGTTTTCTTGTGTTTTGTTATGATTCATTATACAAGTTTGTTTATAAAAACCAAAATTAATTGATCCACATATTTTTTATTTTTAATTCATTGATGGAGAGTTTAGGAGAAAAAAACTTACACACACAACGCAAATACAAAGACTCAAACCCAAGACCTTTTAGTTGAAAGCCTAAGCTCCCAATCAACAGATCAAGGTGAGTTGTATCTCCTTCTTCTTCCTTTCCTTCCTCAACAAGCTAAACAAGGAGAGGGAGGAATGATTGAGTGGACAATTTCTATAAAAAATTTATGATTTAGTACCCATTGATGCGAAGCTGTATGCTTAATCTAGAGTTATTGTTAAATAGAGAATTTACCGCCACAATGTTGTATACAAGTGCCATAGTGCTACTCCCCTAAGCAATGCTGCACTCAAAAGTACTATGCCACAGCGCTCTGGTTCCGAAATTTTAGATTTTTTGCATAAACCCATTTTAAAAACTTTGGGTTATTACAATTATCACAACTTTTTGTTTCTTTTATGATGTTTACATGAAGTCAAGCTAGTAATCTATGCTTATTAATCACATCAACTACAATAATGGGATCGAACATATTTTGTAATCTTACTTATTTATTGAATTATCTAAACTAGGCAAAGCCGAATGGTTTATTAATTAATGTTAATGTTGATATCCGGCGGTTTACCGGCGGTTTATAAACCGTCGGTAATACCGACGGTGTATCGTAGCTAAGCCGCCGATTTGACCGTCAATACAGTCCGACGGCTTAACCGCCGGCGGAGCCGTCGGTAATACCGACGGTCTATAAACCGCCGGTGAAAACCGCCGGTATTTACCATTTTCCTGAGCTGATTTTTTTGCTCTTTAACTTTTTTATGTAAAACTTTCCTATAAATTTTCTTATTAATGTGTGTAGATCTTTAAAATTCTAAGATAAAAAAATTTTCACTCCATTACCACAACTTTTACAATATGGAACATCTTTTATATGTTATTTTGTTGATTTCCTTTACTTCTTGTCATGCTTACTGAATTCATAAAATGTTGCACTTTGTTGAACTAAAGGGGCATTTGGTTGGATAAAAAAATGAAGAAAGAGCAAAATGAAATATAGTGTAATAGAAATATAATGTATTTAAAATGTTTGAAGTTGTTTGAGTGAGTATAAAATAATTACTAGTACTTTTTTTAAATTAATGAAGTGTAAAGCCAAAGATTATGGAGGAAGTAGTAGGTTCGTGGTGGTTGTGGGTTTGCTATGATGATAATTGATGGGTGTTGTGTAGTGATAGGCAATGATGGCAAGTGGGCATCTTAGGGGCATCTTATTGGTGGCCAATGCGCTTGGGGGGGGGGAGGGTTGGGGCCAGGCAAGCGGTGGAGGCGTGGTTGGAAAGTTTGATAATTGGTGGTTGGCAGGTAGAGGTGGCGGGCGAGAATGACAATAGGTGACTATGGCTAGTTGGAAATGATAAAGAATTTATGTTATATTTAGAAACTGCCCAAATCTAACCATTTTCAAAAAATAAAAAATTACACTAAAGGATTCATTCCAAATACATCAAAATTTTACGATACATTTCTTTTACTTCAAACCAAACACTGATATTCTTAAAACCCGTATATTCAGAATACTTTACATCTCTTTACTTCAACCAAAATACCCAAAAAAAAAAAAGAAGAAGAACTCTTCAAGTATGTAATTCTTAGCATATATGTTGAATCACCAAATTATTTTTTTAATTATTATTTGATGAATTCCTTATTTGTTTGATCAATTAAGAAAATTCATTGGAGAAAATTCCATAAGTATTTTACGTTGAGTTCCTCAAATCCAAATTTGAAATAAATAATAACATGAAATATGTGAACACAATTCCTTTTGCAAAAAAAAAAAAAAGAGAATGAGAATTGAATCAAAGTTCGTTCTCATTTTAACTTATTATTTGAAAGTATAAAATTCAATATTTTATGAACACTTCCCATTTTGGTTGAGCTCGAGTTTTCTCTAATAGTGTGAGAAATGTAATTGATCAATTCTAGAATTTATGGGACTTTCCTTGTTACTTGAATCACTTGTGTTAAGACTAGCTCTTTGTTAATTCCTTTAATTTTTAGCTTGTCTTGCCAACATTCTAGGTTAGCAAAGTTGAATCTTTCATTTTTCTTTTATTTATTTTCTCTTCAACCAGACTCCTGACAATTCTCCATGTTGAGACCATAATGTTTATGAAATAAATAATCTTTTGATTATTTATGTTCATACAAAGATTATGTGCATTGTTAATGGTTGATAAAAGCACTCCTTACAATGTATTGCCAATATGATCTCCGCAAGAGGTACATGAAAAGAAGTGTGAGTTGAATACTTATATTACAAAGGCAATTTCTCCCTTTTGAAGGTACCGGAGATTAGAATGTATCTTTCTAAACTTTTTGGATAGAATCTTACTAATTTGCATTGTTATTGATAATGATGGTTGTGACGATAATGAGATTTCTTAATTAAGTGGTAATGATTATTATGATGCTTACTCCTTTAATCTTAAGAATATTGCAAAGAATTTCCCACTAAATTAGTGCGACATTATTTTCTTCAGCAGAAATGACTATTAATGAGATCAAGCAACTTCGCTAATGTCTTTGGCAAGTACAAACTAAGTTTGTATAAAATGTGTCCGCTAAGGAGGCCTTGAGTTGATGTTACTTTGGCGACGACTAGCTCCATGTCTTAAAATTCTAATCTATCACATTAAAAATGAACAATAAAATGATGAAGTGTCTCATTAGGCTCTTGCTTCATATTCAATGAAGTATGGGAATTCAATTATGATATTCAAGCTCAGGAAAATTTTGTATAATGAATTATCGCTTGAAATTTTTTTAGTTATGCTAAAAAATAAAAAGACATTGAAACCATCATAAGAGTTCTTTGTTAAACACTTAAAAGCACCACCGATAATAAGTGGATTGTTAATTTGAGGTGTGTAGCTTGATTGGCCAAGTCAATCTTCCTTAGATAGGAGTTTCAACATAAGCATCTTGAATCTTAGGACGGTGGAGTCACGGTGCAGTTGTGCCTGCATGGATTCTACTAAAAAATATTGTAAGAACGAGCTCAACACATTATTAGTCGTTAGAATATACAAATTTTGTTTTGTGCTTCCCTTCGACAGATGTAATTCATCATTATGAGTTAAAGTAGTTGATATACAACCTCAATATTGAAAGTTGTTTAGAGAAGTGGCTTATTGATACTATCGAAGAGAATGTATGAGAGGCTTGTCTAATGAGAATCATTTGAAGATTTGTTCGGTCATTTTAGTAAGTCGATCATCCATGTGCTTGAGTTAATTAGACATGACCAAATTAATTTGCCATCAATAACAACCTTTGCTTTGGATGTTTTGCATCGTGGCTCCGTGTCATAGTTATTTCCATGATTACCAAACCTATAAAGATGTGGATTTAACGCTATTTGTTAAGAGTACTAAGGTCTTATGACAGTTGTGTATTGAACCTCTTGAGTGATTTAGGTTTCGTTTGAGACAGTTTTTTATTGCTTTATAAAACGGAGTTTTAGTACAAAAATAAAAAAATTTGTACTAAAACTCCGTTTTAGAAAGCAGTAAAAAAGCCATCCCAAACGAAGCCATAGTCTTCGTTTAAGACGGCATTGTTACTGTTTCTTAAAATAGATTTGTAGTACAAAAAATTAAATTTTTGTATTCAAAAGATGCTTTATGAAACAATAAAAAAGCCATTCCAAACAAAGCCTTAATATTTATAAAAAACTTGGTTGACTACTTGGAGGGCAAGGTTGAATCAAACCAAGCTAGAATACAAAGAAGAGAGGGGAACTAATTGTTTTTAGTTAGACAATAATATGGCCAAAAGTAAATAGTTGTCTTCAACTAATATTGGAATAATTAATCTCTTAGCTTTATTGTTGCCTTCAAAAAAGAATATAATAACAGCGCAACCCTCCTTCCAACTCTCCTACTCAAGCTCCAGGAACACAAACAAAAACCATCATATGTAATTTTCCAGAACAAGCTTTTGTAATTATAAGAAGAGATGCAAAAGAAGATATCCGTCTATAATAAAAAAGCATGATAAAAATAACCTCTGCAGCATGAAGGTTGGAATTATGAGCAAAGTTACAGATTCTGAATCACAAGCGAAATCCTGAACCACATTCTGGTTTAGCGAGCAGGCAACAAAGATCCAATAATTTCATCTAAAAGCGAGATTTTGAAGGCCTCATATAGCGAAAAGCTAGTAAATTCTGCATGAGAGATAACAAATGCCTTTATTCGTTAATCTCGTTGGCATTCATCAGTGATCTCAAGTTGCAGAGTATTTAAAATCCAACCCATGAACAAAGTATATATGCACATCACCATGACTTATGAGTAATTTTAGTAGCAATCCTTGACAAAGTATCTTCTTCCGTGTGAAAGCACGTCAAAACTTCTTCTATACAGATTAAGGTTTCGTTAGGGACAGATTTCTTATTGCTTCTTGAAGCGGCTTTCTAGCACAAAAATTTCAATTTTTGTACTAAAAAGCCGCTTCAAAAAGCAGTGAGAAAGCTGTCCCAAACAAGCCTAAGGCTTCGTTTGGGACGGCTTTATTACTGTTTCTTATAGCATCTTTTTAATAAAAAAAAGATTAAATTTTTTATACTAAAAATCTGCTTTAAGAAGCAATAAGAAAGCTGATGAAGCTTAAGTCCAATTCCTCCATTCAATCCTACAGCTGCAATGAAATTTAGAGAACGAAGTTATTTCACAAATTCTGTGAACATTGATGTTAGCCAAGGCAATCCAAGCCGCCGCTGTGTCTCAGCTTCGGAGATCTTTAAAAAACGCGTTACTTTGACGAGAACGATCTTTTCAACCTTTCCCATTCCTCTGGGCCTCTATGGTGCAAATTTACAAAATACTTGAAAAACCGAGCATCTGAGCATGCAAGAACTGTACTCAAGGCAACTGTAGGACTAGCCAATTTCCTATTTTTGGTGGAGAAGCTAACTCCATTCTCCTTGAGCCACTGGAACATGGAAAATCTCAATTTTATCTTATCTAAGTTGTAGCATAAAAATGTCGGAAAAGCGGCCAGTGCCTCTAAGGGATAGCCCAAATCATTCAGAAGGTAAGTACTCTTCTTGTCAAGAACATCAATGGACTGGTTTAACACTGGGGGAACAGCTTTGATCATTTCAGCTGCAGTGTGGCAGTCGAAACCGATTTCAACGAGGAAATCAAACCTTTTCTGCAGTTGATCCCCTCTGCCTCGAAACTTCTTGAGCACTCTTGCCATTTCATCAGAGTTCTCAACAAAACCTAATCTTAGCAAGAAATCAGTCTTTTCCCTCAGAAAGGTGCCTTCAACTTTTGGCAAGTTGATAGCGCTTGACTTCTTACTGGTAATCAGATAAGTGAACTGATTTGGATCTTCTTTTATGATGTCGCATAGCTGGTGCTCCGACAGTTTCGATCTCTGCAAAACAAAATAAGGGCTTTTGCTGGAGGATGCCCCCAGAACATGAGGGTGAGTCTTGACAATCATTTTAATGTCCTCCACATTCATGCCAATGTCAAATAAGAAGTAAATGGACTGCCACAAATTTTTTACAAAATTTCCAGCAAGAATTTGAGGATATTGTACAAATAAGAGTAAGATATCATCCATTTTAATACCCAGTTTCAACAATAATGCAACTAAGATGTAAATCTTCTTCCCAGAATCATCAAAAACAAATCTTGGATGCTGATTGATTAGTGTTTCGAGGTTTTTTTGGTTGCAGCCCATCCCATCCAAAAAATTAAGCATTTTAAGAATTCGATCCCAATGGTATACGCTCTTATCCGACAAACACCCCCTGACCAAATCCAGTTCTACTCCTAAGGCTTTCAGTTTTGTAAGGACTTCAAGAAAATCTCTGTTAAGCTCACCAATCAGAAGGGCTGGGCAACAGGTGACCAACTTGATGATTGTTGGTTTGCTCAAGCCAAGCCTCTCATAGCTTTGAAGTTTCGAATTCAAGACATCATGATTATATCTGAACATCTCACTACCTTCTTTGTACATCTTCCCAATTTTACTCCGAGGAACTCCATAGTTGCAGAGGACATGGTAATTCTCTATCAAATGATGATCATCTGTTAGGTAAATTAAATTGTGAGGGAGAAGGGCATACAGTTCAGAAGGTTTCAAGCCTAAACTCTCAAAGAATGGTTCAAATTCATTGATGGGAGTGAAGCGAAGAAACCTGGAAACTGACCGCCCAACTTCTTCGCCATCATTGACTTTTGCTAGGAGACTCTGAAGGAATACAGGCGAGTTCTTACTAATGTGCTCGGCGTCGGTGAAGTTCAAGCACCTGGTGTAGTGGAGATAGTCGAAAAGTGCATTCTGTGCATCTGTTCTCTCCGTTCGAGACATCCTTGATCCAGAATTTCCATCAGGCAGTGAGCTTGTAGCCTTGCTTGAGATGTAAGAACAGCTATGTTTACTTCGAAGGTTCCGCAAATTGCAAACATCATTCATCTTATGGAAGCAAGCAAAACTTCTGCTCCCTAGTTTGGTAGACTTACTAAAAACTTTCAATTTCAAATCACCTGCACCAAATAGCAATGGAAATTTCTGCAACTTGCATGATGAATAACTTCTTGCACTGAAAATTGCATCTACAGTTGCCGACTTCTTAGGGTCAAAAATGGAATTTCTCCACGAGGAACCATACGGTTTCTTCTCCACAACAATAAGACAACCAGAAACAGCAGGAATAACGATTGCGTTAGTCGTTTGGGTAAGCATATTTGGAAAAGAAGCTCCTTGTAAGAACCAGCGGCTTAACATGATTGATTTGAGGGCTAAAAAAGTATAGCAAGGCTGCAAATTCTAGAACATACATCACCCTACGCAAATCTTTCTTCGAGAAATAGCTGTTAAGTTTTCAGTCTACGATAAATCTCCAACCACGTTTTTTTTTGCTTTCTTTCGCCATTAGAGATTAGAGGTACCGTTCTCTTAGCTGCATGATCTCCGAGTATGCGCAAAACCCTAGACTTTTATTTCTCCCCCTATTTCCAAACAGAGGATATTGTACTTTGTTGTTTTCGTCCGTCAGATTATACGGAGAATAAATCCAACGGTTCTCCTAAGCCGACTCTTTTAGAATCGGCAAAGCTTCTTAATCCCCTAAAAGGCTAAAACCCAAATAAAACCCAAGCATCAGCTCAAGCGAGAACCGTCGAGGGCAAAATAATGCTCTTGTGATCGGGACTTGAGGGAAGAACATAGTACTTTCCTGACGGAGGATGAAGAAAATAACTTCTCTCTAAGGTAACTATAGTTTCTTCATGTCTACTATTTAGTGGCGCCTCGAGTTCTTATATTCATCTAGATGCCGCTTTTCTCATCGAAATAATGATGATCCATACGAAAAAACTAGCAAATTCATGTAGTCTCAAATGGTTTTCGAGGATTTGTCCTGAAAATGATACGTATTCATCAAAAATTCAAACTTGCTGTCAGTCCCATGCTCCAGGTACCAAACGGCATCTTGGTTATCAAAGAGCTTTGCATGCCCTGGAACCATTCTTTGCCAATCGAGTGCCGCATATTTCATTAAATGATCGAGTTTTCTTAGCGAAAGATCCACATTTGAATGGTCTCAGAGGCTTTGGCTCTGGTATAACGCCGGAAGATCGACAGATATTGCATCCCAGCAATCGAAACTTTGCAAAGGCTCAGGCTGTTCTTCTTGATTATCTTCATTCCACTAGAGGCATATATTTCACTGATGCGGAGCACATCAGTAAAAACTGTCCTATTTTTGTTTGGAGGATCTTGGAGAAGGTAGAAGATAAAGAAGAGATTGGAAGGGCACTAGTTAGGTATCTTCGCTACCATCCTATTAATGAGTTTGAGCCATTCTTTGAGAGCATTGGTCTGAAACCTTCTGAGTATATTCCATTTCTTCCCCGAGAATTGATGTTTCTTTCTGATGTTGAAGAATTACTTAATAACTACCGTGATCTTTGTAATTATGGCATTGCTCGCAATAAGATAGGAAAGATGTACAAGGAAGCTAAAGATATTTTCATGTATGGGCCCGGTTTGTTAAAATCAAAGCTTCTATCTTATGAGCAACTTGGTTTGAGGAAGTATACGGTGATCAAACTCGTTGCTTCTACTCCAGTTCTTTTGTTAGGTGATGTTAACAAGGAATTTGTTCTGTTGTTGAAGAATTTGGAGGAGATTGGCTTACCACGAGATTGGATTGGAGGGACTGTGTCTGAGAAAAATACTTGTTTCTGGGGTAAAATGTTAGTGCTTTTGAAATTTTTCAAGGACATGGGATTTGACGAGAAAAAGCTTGGGACTTTAATTAGTAAGCATCCTAGCTTTTTACTTGATGGTTCAGGAGAAGCTGTGTTTTCTGTGACTTGTCTTCTTCTGAAGATGGGTGTTTCAAGAAAGGAAATTTTCTTTATGTTTTCAGAGTTTCCTCATCTTCAAGTTGGAAGCTTTGCACGAAATTTGCGGAGGGCCTTTGAGTTTTTAGTTGAAATTGAAATGGACTTTGAGGATATAAAAGAACTTATCTGCCATCACAAAGACACTTTAGGTCTGGTCTTAATGAAGAAACCTACTAGCATAATGTCAAATCTGAGTAGTGGAAAGAAAAGGCTATGCAAAATCATAACTGATGATCCTCACCAGATGCAGAAATATGCAATGGGATTGAAAGTTCCTCCCCTTCCAAGTGATGACTCCATTCTGAAATCAATAATAGAGAAGAAGAAGTTTTTATCTCATCTAGGCTTTGTTGATAACTCGAAGGAGATGAAACGGGCCCTTGAGGTATTTCGTGGAAAGGGTGATGAGCTGCAAGAGCGGTTTGATTTTTTTGTTAGAAGTGGACTAAATCCAAGCGATGTTCTTGATATGTTGAAAAGGGCGCCTCATATTTTGAACCAGAAAATAGAAGTCCTTGATGAGAAGCTTAGTTTTATTATAAATAATTTGGGTTATCCATTAAGTTCATTGGTGAGGTTTCCACAATGCATGTCATACACCACAGAGAGGGTTAAACGTAGGCATTTGATGTATGATTGGCTTAAGGAAAGAGGAAAAGCTACAACAGCTTTAGCTTTAGGTAGCTTAATAGCTTGTTCGGACAAGATGTTTATAAAGAGATTTGTAAGCCTTCACCCAGACGGTCCCAAAGTTTGGGAAAGTTTCAAAAAAAGCATTATCTTCAAGTGAATGAACTTACTGGTTTGAATCTTTTTGTAATTTTGATGCAAAAGTAAGGTTGCTTATTTTTATTAGAAATTTTGTATTGTCTATTCTTTGAATTCAAATCTTATTTGTTCAAATAATTATATCAAAATTATGAGTATGTTTGTGTGCATGTAAAGGCTTTGGTTGACTAAACTTCTTCCATATGGGTGTAGATGTAAGTCTACAGTGGAGGGTGGTCTTAATCCTGATTTGAAAGGAGGAAATCAAGAGAGGTAAAAAGGAACCCTAGAGATGTGAATGTGGAAAGGTAGAGCGAAGAGAGTTTTGAGAGGAAGATAGGGATTCATCAGTTGGAGAGATAGGAGGTGGAGCTACAAAGAGGGAACATTGTGATAACAAGGAGGGCAGATGGGAAAATATGAGAGGTATTGGGGTTGGTGAGGAGGCAAAGAAAGAGAAAAGTTTTATTAGAAGGTTTGTGCGGTCTAAACATACAATAACAACAACAACAACAACATCATGCCTTTGTCCTACTACGTGGGGTCAGCTACATAAATCCTTTTTGGCCATTGTGTCATCTTAAAAGTCAAATTTTCATTTAAAAATTTGAGACAGATTCCGCGTCCTGTAGACCTGAGCCGGCCCAAGGGCCGGCTGGGCCGGCCATGGTGAACCGGCCTAACATATTAGTCATCAGTTATTACTTTTTTTATATGAGAATCTACCAATTAATTTGAATGTTTTTGATGATGTGATTATGAACAAAATTTGGGTTCCTAGAATCATAGTAAATATTGAAAGTTCTATGAATACACCTTTTTCTATCATCTTGCTAAGAAGTTCGATTTGGATTGGTTGAATTATAGACTTCCAAAAGGACTTCTGATTGGCTTATTGTGGGAGAGAAGGGTGCTGGAAGGATTAATTACCCTTCTAATGATATGAAGGGACTTTACGTCTCATGAGACTAGGTAGGTGAAATTTATGGTGTTGAGAGTTTAATACCCAACTATGATATAATCTAATAGTTGTCTTACATGATGTTTATCTTGAGGTAATGGCATAAATATACAAGGGGTGAAGTGGATTATTTTAAAATATTTTTAACCTATGTATTAGATCTGAATGAGAATTTGATTCTTAACCGGATACAATGGAGAAAAAAGATTCATGTAGTCAACCTCACGTAGTGGGATAAAAGCTTGTTGTTGTTGTTGTTGTTGCATTCTATTATTGCCCAATAATTTAATAATGATTAAAAATAAGATAAACAAAAAAGCAAGTAAAATGCAAAAAAAATTAAAAAATTAAAATAAAAGATCCAAAACCATCTTAAGGATTACATCCTCTCACCTATTTTTTTTTTCATTATTATTATTATTATTATTTTGACTGGAGTCTGAGAAGCCTATTAGCAAATGCTTTTTTATAGGTAATGAATGCAACCAATGCTTTCACTCAGAGAAAGAAGCCTACTATTCTTAGCACAAATTGGGAGGTCGTAAAGCCTCAACTTCAAGCCATGAAATTGGCAAGCCCTAATATATGTTGTTAGGTAATGTCTTCTTAGAGAAGATGATCACTATAAATATTAGATCTCTCTTTAAAACCATTACACAAAGCTCACATAGCTAGATTTGCTATTGGAGGAACAAAGCTTTTAATCATCAGTTTTGATGCATCCAAAAAATAATTCAGAGACTTATATTTTAATATTTCAAGTTCACATTCATCATATGTTCATTTCTGTAGGACGAGAATAATTAGTTTCAACTAATTATTTCGGTTGGGTTACATCAAGGATCAGCCTTAAGCCCATATCTTTTTGCTTTAGTCATGGATGTTCTCACTAGACATTTGCAAGAGGATGTACCTTGGTGTATGCTTTTTGCTGATGATATTCTTCTTGTTGATAAGACTAGAGAGGGAGTTGAAGGTAAACTTGAATTATGGAGGTCGACCTTAAAGTCTAAAGGTTTTCGCTTGAGTAGATCTAAAACGGAATATATGGAGTGTAATTTTAGTAGTAATAGACCTAGTGAAGGGATTGTGACTTTGGGCGATCAAGTCATTAATAAGAGTACAAACGTTTTTAAGATATCTTGGATCTATTGTTCAGAGTGATGGTGAAATAGATGGGGATATTATCAGCAGAATTCAAGTTGGATGGTTGAAGTGGAGGAATGCATCGGGCTTGTTATGTGATAGAAATGTACCCCTCAAACTTAAGGGAAAATTCTATAAGATGGTAATGAGGCCTACAATGCTTTATGTGAGCCGAATGTTGGCCATTAAAATAGAAGCATAATATTAAGTTATGTGTGGCATAGATGAGGATGCTCAGGTGGATGAGTGGCTTTACCCTTAGAGATAGGATAGAAATGAGCATATAGTGAAAAGGTTGGAGTAGCTCCAGTAGAAAGATAAGATTAGAGAGAGTCGCCTTAGATGGTTTTGGTCACATATAAACGGCGGCCTTCCGATGACTCGGTTAGGAGAGTAGAGGTATTAGATTTGACTTATGTTAGAAAGGTAGGGTAGACGCTAAAAAGACTTGGTTAAAAAATATTAGGAATGACCTTTCTTTATTAGATTTAAACGAGAATTTGACTTTTAATAGGACACAATGGAGAAAAATGATTCATGTAGCCGACCCCACGTAGTGGGATAAAGGCTTGATGTTGTTGATGTTGTAGATGGAACATACAAAAGCTATACTTTGCAGAAATCAAATGAAATATTATCATATAAATAAGGAATGTTAAATAGAATATCTTTTGATATAACATTAATAAAGTATACATTAGGATTTACTTCAGATTTTAAAGCATTAAGCTAATAACCTCACTATAATACTACTTGAATGTAATAACAAAAATCAGAGGAAGTCTGAAATATTAATTGATTATATTAAAAATAATTTTTAGAACACTCTTTGACAACACAATAATCTAAAAAACAATTGCAATAAGATGAGTAACAATAGATAAAGTCTGAAAAATTATCTAAATGACGTAAATTGGTTTATAGTGGTTCAACAACCTTAAGATTTACATCCACTCGAGTTTTCTTAAGATTTTCACTCGTTTCCCTTCTTAATCGTAGCAGAGAAGCCTCTCACAAACAATCCTTAACTTGTAAATGGCTCCGCCCAATACTTTGCTAAAAATGAGAAGCCCGTTACTATTATCACTAAATACTAGCTCATAACATCCTAAGTTTATGAACATGGAATCAGCCACAGCTGCCGCAAATTGCTACTTAGGCTTCGTTTGGGACGGCTGCAGCTGTCGGTAACGCAGGTTGTTAAGTTGTTTGTAGAAAAAGCTGCTTTTTAAAGTTGCTATAGCTAAATCAATAAATTTTTTTGGGTAGTATAACTGTTGAGTTGCTGTGCTGCTGCTGTATAAAACAAATTACCTTGATACCCTTTTATATATTGAGATAAATATATAATCAACTTATATTTCTGAATTAAAATTAACTAATTTTTATCCAATCTCTTATAAGTTTATATATCAGACAGTTGATAAATATAATTCTGTAATTTTATTTAAAATTTATGAAAAGATAGAACAACAAAACAAACAATCTCATTTTATTCATTATTTTTAGCAAAAAATAAATAAAAAATAGTGTAACTATTTTTAACTCGAGACTAATATTTTTACAGAAACGTTCCTTATCCTTGCACATCAACTCTCAGTCCTCACTATCCACGACGACCTCCCCCTTTTGTCTCCGATCTTCCACTCTCTGAATCCAGAATCGAAAATGGCATCGATTCCTTGCACTATCCACAACCATATCTCATTATCTTCTTCGTGTGCTCGCTCTTCCCAGGTATTGCGTTCTCCGTTCTTGGCTTTCACAAAGAGAGTCGGGTGGCGGAGAGATTCGCGGTTAATGAAGAGAGCAGATTTAGCAGGCGGAGGCGGTGGAGCTCGGTGTTGGTTTAAGTTTGGGAACCGCGGCGTCGACGCGAGGTCGCTGGATCTATAGAAGCCAATCTCGGGACGATTTCGACCGGGATGATGTGGAGCAGGTATTTACGGGAATATTTGCAGCGGGGATTTATGTCATTTTCCTCTTCGAAACAGCGGAAAGCACGCGGACCGCAGGACAGAGTGAAATGTCGCGAGTCGCACTTGCGTGCCGCGAAATTTTTCCAACCGGGTTCTGCCGCAATGCCCTCAAATAGGGGTGTCAATTTCGGGTCACGGGTCGGGTTCGGGTCGAACCCGGAACTGACCCGGGTTCAAACGGGTCAACCCTAACCCGACCCGGGTAGAAAAACGGGTCGGAAAACCAAACCCGGACCCGACCCGGCGGGTTGCCGGGTTGACACGACCCGACCCGGTTTGGGTGGCCGGCGCCGGAACGGCGGCGGCGGACGGCGGGGGACGAGAGCGGGACAGCGCGGGCGGCGGTCGGGCGCGGGACGCGGCGCGCGGCGGGCGCGTCGGGCGAGTTCGGGCACGGGCACGCGGCGCCCTGGGCAGGTTGGGCACGCGGGCGCGCGGCAGGAGCGGTCGGCGCGGGCACGCAGACGCTGGGCACGCGGGCAGGCGCGCGGCGGGCAGCGCGGGCAGGCGCGCGGCGGGCGGGCGCGGGCAGAGGCGGGAATCGAAATTTTTCGAATTAAACAGGTTGGCGGGTTTACCCGGCAACCCGCCGGGTCAACCCGAACCCGATCCGTTTTTTAAACGGGTCGATTTCTGGAACCCGAACCCGACCCGTTTTGAAATCGGGTCGGGTTCAACCCGGATTTTCCGGGTCCGGGTCGGGTTTTCGTGTCGTGTCAAATATTGACACCCCTACCCTCAAACGATCATTTAATAACTTTTTGTAAAGCAAAGCAATAGCTACGTGGTCTCAAACTCATCCTTAATGTCTTCTTCAAGTAGATGAACACATTGAGATCAGAGTTTCCTCTTTCAAAATTAACACATAAAGCTAATAAAACTAAATTTTTAAGCGGAGGAACAAAAGTTGGGAAAGTGTGAATGACTTGGTGTAGCATATCTATTAACAACTAATAATATTAATAAATCTTCCATTATTATAATCAATCAGCCATCAATGCATAT